AAAAAAAAAAAAAAGTTAAGTTAGGGATTCATTCTTTCAATTGAAAATATTTTATACAGAAATTATTGTATATCGAATATATATAGGCAATGTGACCTAGGCAAATGCTGTTGTTCCTAAATGAAACCTGCAGATTTTGGGGTGCAGTTTAGATCATTCCTTGGGACAGAACTCGAGGGGGAACATCTCCACATGTAACTGTGGGTGGGAGTGGACGTAAAAGTTGGTGGGAGTAAAACGTCTGAGACAGTCTCCTCTCGGTTGTATTCAGAGAGATACAAGACAAGGAGCACTAACTGAAATACAGGTAATTAAATTTAAACATAAGAATTTTTTTCCCTATAAGGGTGATCAAACAGTACAAAAGGCTGCCCAGAGAGGTTGTGGAGTCTCCATCCACAGAGGTATTCAAAACCCACTTGGACAGCCTGCCGTAGGGGACTGTTTTGGGCAAGGGTTTGTTGTACTAGGCAGCAATTTGTTCAGTGAGGCAACAATCCTGGGGCTGTGGGAAACCTTGCTACAGTTCCACACAGCAATGTGAGCAGGCAAGTGCTTATCCAGCTGTGGTGAAATTGACCCTTATTATCTGTATTATGAACTTCAGCCTTTTAAAAATTACAAGTATAAAAATAATTGCCATTGCTTTGTCTCTATATTAGTTATATCTATGTAAGAGCTCAGGTGAGTTTTGGARTTTGTCGCGGTAGTTGCCTCTCCCACCTGCGAGCTCAACATCATCCAAAGCAGAGCTGCCTCATCAGTGTTGTCAGTGGTGTGTCCTCTACCATTACAAGATGATGGTGCAGGAATTAAACTAATTAGAAGGGCATGATGGCAAATGGAGGAAAGAGGAGAAATCAGAATGTCAGTAGCTTCATCTCAGTTTTAATACTCCTGAGTGGGGATGGCTGTATTTTCATGAATGCAAACACAGAAATGARTTTCAGCATGGTTACTCGGCTGTGAGTCAGTCAAGGTCTGCAGGAGCAGATACTGCTCTTTGGGGAGATATTCACTCAGTTTCTAGTCCAAAGGAGCACGTTGACATCTGAACTTGCTTTTGTTTGGAAAGAGATGTGTGGGTTGCTGGACTATAGCTGTGTCTGCCATCCTTTATCTGTACCCATTTGCCTTGCATAAATACATAAAGATGCTGAAGGGGAGGTAAGCGCTCCCGGCTGGCTCCTGGCTTTTACACGGCGTCTTTGTGCCACCTAGTGGACCTGATTCCAGCGATCATCGCACGTCCTGGAAAGGTTCGGGTTTTTCCATAGAAACTCTAGATGTTTAATATTTCAATAATAAGAACTACTAAACTCAAAGTGCAAGACTTGCTAATAAAGCTATGCATGCCCATTCATCACTTTGCTGCTGAGATTTGCCATCACATTGCTTTCCAGAAAYTGTTCGTTCTTAAGGAAAAAAAATAATTTTCTCTTATTTTCTGTTCCAGGAAAATKAAAAGATTGACCTTTACCAACAAAGGTCATGTAATTGAGCAATTTAACTGATCTGACGCAACTGGCAAAAGCTGAATTCATGTCTTTTCGGTGGCTACTTTTGAGGTTTTCTATCTTTACCACCTAATTCTACCTCTTAAAAACATGTGAGTGCTCTGGAGAACTGTAAAGCCAAACACAGCAAAACCCCTGAATCTTTTGGAGGGTTGCTACAAAATTCAGCTCTGGTAATCAAGGTGCTTTGTATCCATGTATTTTGGAGATATATATGTATATACCTACATATAGAGATTTATGCAATACTTAATGTAAAGACAGCAGTCAATATAATTAACARCCACCCAAATAGTAGACCTGGTGCACAAGCTTGAACTTCTGAGTTATCTGTGCCCTGTAGACTGTGGCTTTAGTTCTGAGGGGACTGAGCAGGAAACGATCTGTGCCTCCCAGGGCTTTTATGACCAATCATCTCTAGAAGATTGCAGGTGAAAAAGTGTTTTCTAGCAATTAGTGTTTATTTCAGAGTCGTAAAATAGGTTTTTTACACATATCACTTTGACTCAGGAATTCACTGAGCTACAGCTCACTAAGGAGAATATCAGTAAATGCCCACCTAAACTTATATTCTTCCTTTAAAACCCCTGATATTGGGCATAGTCAGAGGAAAAAAAAAAAGAAAAAAGTGAGAGCTCATTGGTTCAATCCAACATGGATCTGTGAAACCTATTTCCTTCTAAGAATATCAGAAGGACCATTTCTGATGGGGTCAAAAATTTAAAGGGCAGTCAGAAGCTAAAGCCTTTTTCTCCAGGGACCATCTGAATCCAGAGAGTTGGCTGAAGAAACATCTTTCTCAGSAGTGGAAGACCATGAATTGTGCGATCAGTTTTGGTTCCAAAAGTGGAAGAGTCTGGATGGCACTTAAGTGCAGCACCTGCTTGTACCATGTTGTCCTTGGGAAGCTCAGGAAACAGGTGTAAAATCTGTAGGTAGCTGAATTGGAAGAGTGGAGCCCCAAAAGAGCTGATACAGATAGTGGGCTTAAGACCATAAGAAAGAAGGGAGGCTGATTTCTCTGCTTCTGTGTCGGGGGGCAGTTGATTTTTTTTGTTTGGTTCTTATAGCCTCTCCTGTTTTTTAGTAATTTAAGGGGATAAGTGATTTGTCTAACTACAGTACGGGCCAGGTGCTGGGTTCAGGCTTCGGTCTTGCTGTGAGAAGAGAACAAATAGGGGCTCGCCACCGGAGCTGCGGACCTCTCCTCCTCGGGCAGTGCAWCGGGGCCGGATCCCGGTAAATGCGGATAAAGCCAGTTTTATCCCTTCCTTGCCGACGCCCGGAGCCGATCGCTGCTCGCTGCGGGGCGAGCGCAGGGATGCGGGCACGGCCGGGGAGCGGCGCCCGTGAGCGGCGGCGGCAGCGCTGCCATGGGGCGGCCGCGGCGGGGGCGGCATCCGACGGGCTGGGCGGCACCGCGCCCGCAGCAGCCACCGCCGCTCGCTGCTGGAGCAGGGACAGGAGCACAGGTAGGACCCTGCGCCCCACCCCTTCCCCCCGCGCCGGGGCCGCTGCGGAGCCGGGAGTGGGAGGGAGCCTCGCCGCAGACSGGAGCTCCGCAGCCTCCCGCGGGGCTCCGCATCCCGGCCTCGCCGCTCCGGGAGCGTTCGCCGTGCGGAGCCGCCCGCTGTTGTGCGGCGCCTTGTGGGGCCGTGCCTGCCGCTTTGTGCCTCCCGGTCTGTGCTACATGTGCCCTTTGGCTCGGTAACGCCGGCGGCGAGCAGCCGAGGGGCAGGAGGCTGTGCCGGGAGGACGGCCAGAAAACACCCCCCGTAAGTAGTTCCCTGCCGCTGTTGGGCTGCCTTTGTTCGGTGGAAGGTGTAAGGAGGCGTGCGGGTGATTTTCAGAAGGTGTCACTTCACTGCTGCCACGGAATTCAATGGCTGGGCTGGTTCTCTCCGATTCCTTCTGCTTCCCCTTTGTTAGCGTTTTCCCGGGGAGTCCAGTATTGTTTCAGCTTCACTGAAAAAAAGCAGGAGCTGTCAAAGAGATGACTTTGTTCCCGGCGATGCTTCTCCDGAGCAGCATCGCTTTGTTTAAGCTCCCGTGAACCATTTGTCACACAAGTGTCGCCGTGCMGCTATAGCCGGCTGCGCTCCGCGCCGGGCGGGCAGCGGGGCCGCSTCTCTGTCCTTTACCCTTCCCCAGCCCTGGAGCAGGTAGGCGGCAGGTAATGCCATTTCACAGGGGAAATTGTTGCCTTGCGCCATCTCCTCAGTTAGAAAACGTCCGTTTCAGAGACAGAAATGTACGAACCGCGCATCTTTTCTGTCACGGAGTGATTTTTAAGGAATGACGGTTTGGGGGTTTTTTAATTAATTTTGCTGGTATTGCCACGAGTCAGTTACAAATCTGGTTCTCTGTAGCTGTAGTATTTAAAACGTTATTATGCCTCTCCTCTRTCATTTTAAGTGTAAAAATGCCCAGTTAAAAACACAGTTCAAGGGGTAAATAGAGACCTGGAAACCACAACTGTGCATCCTGAAAATTTAATATGCCTGACAATAATGGCACTGAAAATGATCTGCTGTTGGGGGGATGGGACCACGGAGAAAGGAAAGAGTAATTTGCAACCAGAGGCCTAATAATAGCTATTCTCTCGATAATAGATACATAGATAATATAATTTGTTACACTCCCAAATAGATTTTCTGTACATATCTTAAAGGTATCTAGAAATTTTATGGAAAGAGCTCTTTTCTCAGACTCTGGGTTATTTAAGATAGCTGACAGCAGTTACATGTTTTAACAGATTAAAGAGCATAAATTAGGGCCAGAACTGACTTTTATCTGGTATTTAGTAATGCATGCTCAAGAAATTCCCATCACTGAAATAAATCTAATTGCACCTTGCATAGACAATTAAGTCTTGTAACTCTACCAAAACGTTAATCAATGGGCATAAATGTTATCATGAGTTTCTTTAACAAAGCCATTGATACTACAGTAGTTAGCAGTTCTGTTTATTACTTGCTTTGGGTGGTTTGAATCCAGGTCAGGAATTGATAAAATAGACAAATTGAACTCTTCATTGGCTTCTACCAATTTATCAGATTGGAGGTTGTGTTTGGGGTTGAAGATTTCATTGCAACAATTAGCTGGAATTCAACACTATGAAGTGTATTGAAATTTTGTAGGAAAATGATTTGTATATTTATTTGTGTTCCAGTTGGATAATTACAATAATTACCTTGGAAACATTTATTGGTAAATATGGCACAYAGCAAATAGGTTGCTGCTGG